TATATATATATACTGTATGTGTCTTCTTTACTTTATCAATTGTTATATAAAAATTCGAAACAACTTTGTTATTATTAAATAAATCAATGAAATTAGTTATAGAGGTCATTTAAAAGCTAAAACTTATGTCTATTGGTTGGAACGGAATAATTGTAACAAAATTTGAAAGATGATTGTCTTAATGGTATTTATTTTGACATTTATGAAAGCTAGTAGTCGTTAAGTGTTCCTTTGGACAATGAACATTGTGACACAACTGGAATTTCTATTATTTTGGAGTTCTCTAGTCTACTCATGCTGAATTTCCATCGAAAGTTCTGTAACATTGAGACCACCTCCGGATAATTTTACAATGTTGAGGACCACAACTTCTACCCAGGTATTGAAATTGTTGTCTACATATTTCGTGAATATCAATCGAATTGTTGGAATATCAAATCGTTTAGAACGATAAATTTGCAACGCGAACTGGATACATGAAAATCATAAAATATTTTGTTAAAATATAATTGAACAATATAATTAAATACTGTTTTAAAAGTTTAAAGGGTACTAACAAATAAAAATTGTTCACGATATTAATTCAACTGTACATGATTACATTTCTGTAAATGATGATATTTTTTTGTCAATTAAAATTTTATTAAACGTTAGGCTGTATACATAGTGTAAAAAAATAATGTGGCACAAATGAAATTGCCGAACATTGGCACCGAATTGAGAACACCTGATTGTCTCGAAAAATAGGAGTGAAATGAAGAAATATATTAGACAAATTTGACAGTGTGTGAACCGATACATATTACTGTTTTAAATGTTTGACTGTAAGATGACCTTGAAACGCCTTTCAAAGGTCATAGTAAAATTCTTAAATGTAACCTTACAATTTATATTCCATGTTTTTGTAGATAGAATTCAAATGTTTTCAAACAATTAGAAATTAATTTTTTTGGATAAGCCATTATCAAGATGTAAGCAGCCAAAGTTTACCGTTGGCTGGCAGTGATGGTTCCCGACGATAGTGCGACTGTTATGAGTTGCCAAACCGATTATATAAAGGATATTTTTTATTGGTCAACTCGTGGATTCACAGTTGAGAACGCACTCATTACACTAGTTACAACGATGGACATTCGTACGTTGCTTTACTCTTCTGTTCTGTCCTTATAGACATTTATAGGTGTTTCAATTGCTCCAACATATCTCAAAGTAAAGACACTACGGAGAAACTGTCGAAACTGAGGCGTCATTGTTGCTTAATCATGTGTTATACTATTCTGTACCCATAATGTGTAAGCCGCACTATCCGTCGAGTATTATCACTACCGACGAATCCTCAACTTTGGATGCTTATATCTTGGTAATGGTTTATGAGAAAAGTTAACTTCTCATGGTTTTAAAACGTTTGAATGTTAATTAAAAAAATATGGAATATAAGCATAATGTAAACAATGTAAATGAAATAAATAATTTAAGAACTTCAATATGTTTTTGTAGAATGTTTCACGGTCATTTTAAGGTTAAATATATACAATCGTGATATGTATCAGTTTGCACCCAGTAACATTTGTTTAACATATTTCTTCATACCGCTCCTATTTTTCGTGGTAATCAGGTGTTCTTTTTAATTGTTTGTTAACTTAAAGCCTATTTTCAATTGGAG